AGCATTGGAACAGGCTGCCCAGAGAGGGGGGGGAGTCCCCATCCCTGGAGGGGTTCAAAAAACGGGCAGAGGTGGCACTTGGGGACATGGTTTAGTGTGCATGGGGGTGTTGGGTTGATGGTTGGAGTGATTATCTGAGAGATCCTTTCCAACCTTAGTGATTCCTAGTTTTTACTTTGATTAAAAAATAATCCAGCCAGCAAGCCAGGAAACATGAAATTATTACTCTCCCCTTAACTGGTTTAGTGGTGGACTTGGTAGTGTTGGGTTAATGGTTGGCCTGGATGATCTTAAAGGTCTTTCCAACCTAAATGATTCAATGATTCCATGATTCGGGACACAGTTTAGTGGGCATGGTGGTGTTGAGTTGATGGTTGGACTGATGATCTTAGAGGTCCTTTCCAACCTTAGTGATTCCTAGTTTTACTTCATTAAAAAATAATCCAGCCACCAAGCCAGGAAACATGAAATTAATTATTACTCTACTCTTACTTGGTTTAGTGGTGGACTTGGCAGTGTTAGGTTGAAGGTTGGACTGGATGATCTTAAAGGTCTTTTCCAACCTAAACGATATGATTCTATGATCTTAGCGCTGGTCTCTCTCATGGGGAAACTGAGGCACAGGGCAAGCCTTCCCGGTAGTGGTGCTGGGGAGGGTCAGCCCCTGCCCTGTCTACACCCCACTCCCCAGCCCACCCCAAGGGTGCCCGCTGCCCTGGTGGGGCCATACCTGGGTAGGGCACCCGGCCTTTGGTCACCAGCTCGGTCAGGAGGATGCCGAAGGACCAGACATCTGACTTGATGGTGAACTTCCCAAAGAGCGCAGCCTCCGGGGCCGTCCACTTGATGGGGAACTTGGCACCTGCGAGGGGAGGCAGGTGAGCCATGGCCAGGGCACCCCGCTGCACCCACACACGCGGTACCCCCCACCTGGGGCACCCAGCACGGGGGACACCCTGCACCTGGGGCATCTCGCACCAGAGGCACCCTGCACCTGCAGCACCCTGTACCGAGGGTGTCCTGCACCCCGGGTGCCCTGCACTGGGACACCAGGCACCAGGGACACCCGCATCCAAGGCACTCATACCTGGGGTACCCCACACCTGGGGCACCCAGCTGTAGGGGTACCCAGCACCCAGGGCAACCTGCACTGGGGGGCACCCCACACCTGGGGTACCCATCAACTGGGGTACCACCCATCCCCTGGGGCACCTATCCCCGGCGGCACCCATCACCCCAGGCACCCATCACCCCAGGCACCCAGCATTGGGGGTGACCATCATCCAGGACACCCAGCATTGGGGGTGACCATCCCCAGGCCCAGGGTGGGACGCAGCATGGAGGGGACAGGGCAGTGGTCCCCAAAACAGCAGGGCACCAAGCCAGCTCACCCTGGCGTGCCGTGTATTCGTTGTCCTCGATGAGGCGAGCGAGGCCAAAGTCGGCGATCTTGCACACCAGGTTGTCTCCCACCAGGATGTTGGCAGCGCGGAGGTCCCGGTGGATGTAGTTCATCCGCTCGATGTAGGCCATGCCCGCCGCGATCTGGGGTGGGGGGGAAG